CACCCCTCATCTAGAAACCCTAGAAATCTTCTCTGATCCCCAATTTCTCTGCCTCTTGCAGGTCACTTGGTGGGTGTATGGATCCTTCTCAGCAGCCCGATTCAAGGTATGTGATGTTCATAGGTGTGTGTGTTGTTGATCTAGATCTGTCTAGATGTTTGTCTTCTCAAGGATTAGAAATTGTAGGTGTTTTAGATATGTATTGCTGTGACAATCTTTATGTTTGTGGGGCATCTTTTATTCTGTTCTAGTAGGTCTTCAGAGTTGCAACTTGATGTGCTAATTTATTGTGTGATGTTCGCTTCATAAAATGCTCAGTTTTATTGATTGAAAGCTGTATAAATGATTGATGGCTGATAACTAAATTATTGTGTAGTTCCATACTATCAGATCAAGTAGACATGATTTCATACATAACTGAAGAGAACAAAAGGAGAAAGAGGAAAAGGATAATCTTGACAGAACTTAACTTTGAATCGGTACTTCTTGGAATGGCATACCTTATTTCACAGAGAGCACCTCGTGGATTAGGTAGTTTTAGTGATGATGAGCACAAGCACACACTTAGGAAGTATTTGTTGAAAGATATGTATGATGGCTCAGAAGTGGCATGCTATGATCAGCTACGTATAACAAAAAGAAATTTTCATGATTTGTGCATCATGTTGCGTGAGAGGTGTGGTCTAGTTGATAGTGTGTATGTGGTTGTGGAAGAAAAGGTTGCCATGTTCTTGTTAGTAGTGGGTCATGGTCTGAAAATGAGGTTGCTTCGAGGCACATACAAGCGGTCTTTGGGAACTATAAGTACTCACTTTTCTGAAGTGTTAAGAGCCATTCTATCTATGCATGGAGAGTTCATTAAGCTTCCAGATGCTAATGTTCAACCTCCCGATGATTACAAATGGAAGTGGTTTGCTGGTGCACTAGGAGCATTAGATGGCTGTCATGTAGATGTTTCCGTTCCCGTGCCTTCCCAAGGGAGGTACAGGAATAGGAAGCAAGCTGTCAGTACAAACATGCTCGGTGTGGTGGACTGGAATATGAAATTTCTGTATGTCTTACCTGGCTCGGAAGGTTCCGCTTCAGACTCTAGAGTCCTACGCGACTCCATGAGAACTAATCGCCAAGATGCATTTGTTGTACCTAATGGTATGGCTTTTTCTCTTGGCATCTTGTTCTCTTTTCACATGCTACAACCAACCTAACCGACTTGTCTAACGATGCATGGACCAACTTCAGGAACCAACTATCTAATGACATGTTTGCTGAATATGTAGTGGCACATGCAAATTTACAGCAGTAGCGCAGCATGTGGATTAGCAAGATGATGTCTTTTCTTTTGTGCTAGCTAGATGATGGATTGGCAAGATGACGTCTTTTCTTTTGTGCTAGCTAGATGATGGATTGGCTAGATGATGTCTTTTCTTTTGTGCTAGCTAGACGCTGTTATGTTCTCTTTTGTGCATAGCTATTGGATGGTGACTTTTGGATATTTTGTACATCATCATCATGAGAAAGCAATTAATATATGTTCTCTTTTGTTTGTCAATTGTTATTCAAACTTTTTACTTGTAGCACCATGGTTGAAGAGAAAAAGAAGAAGTATAGTAGAGATTACTTGACATGGAATGATGAGATGGATAAGGTTTTGTTGGATGTCTTTGTTGAACATCACAATAGAGGTGATCAAGCCCAAAATGGATGGAAGCCACATGTCTACAATGCTGCTATAAAGGCAATATGTGATAAGTGTGGACTAAAGGTCACAAAGGATAAAATATGTTTAAGGATTAAGACTTTTGACAAGCATTATGCTACAATTAGCAAGATTCTTTCTCAGAGTGGATTTGGTTGGGATTGGGTCAATAACAAGCTACTCATGGATAGTGATGATGTGTGAACAAATATGTTGAGGTAAAAAATGATGGTTAATTAATTTATTCTATGTCATATATATACATGCAGGCTAATGTTTTACTTTGTATGTGTGTGCAGGCTAATGTGAAGGCACTTGCTACAAGAACAAAGAAGTGAAGAATTGGGAGGCAATCTGCACAATATACTCCAAAGATCATGCAACCGGTGAAGGTGCAATGACAAGTGCTGAAAGTGAAGCACAACCAGCAGAACTAGACGTAGTAGATGTTGAAGCCTCTCCAGAATTGCCACAAAAAAGGCAGCGAACGGGCGATGCTATCTTGTGCATGCTTGGAGACATGAAGGGTTCTTTCCAAGATGCTTTGAAGTCACTTGAGCCACTAGAGCAGCCCAAGGTTACTCCTCCTCTTGAAATCATTGCTGCCCTTGAAAAGATCCCGGACTTGGCTCGTTCAGACATGTTGCGAGCATATGGTAAACTCATCCTTAGTGAACGCTTATTTCAAGCGCTTATGGAGTTGCCCATGGAGTTTAGGAAGGAATGGTTGTTGATGCTCAATGAGAAGAACAACGTTTGACTAGTTTGAAGTTACTATGTTATTGTAATGATGAAAAACACATGTACTATGTGCTTCATTTCATCGCACTTGAATTTCCTATGTTATTGTATCAGACTTGAATTTCGCATGTTATGTCTTGTTGTTAGCTAAATGGTGTTGATCTATAAGTGTTGTTGTTCTTGTTGTATTACTGCTGTTGTACAAATGTTGTTGTTGCTGCTGTGTAAGTGTTGCTGTTGCTGTATAAGTGCTGTTGCTGTTGTATATGTGCTGCTATATATATGTACTGCTATATATATCTGGTGTTGTTACTGCTGTATAAGTGCTGCTGATGATGTATAAGTGCTGCTGCTGATATATATGTGCTGCTGCTGCTGTGTATGTGCTGCTATCAAATAAGTGTTGTATAATTGTTGTTTTTGGGTAAGTGCATCTTGTTTATAATTGTAGATTGTATTCTTTGTATATAGTCATTCAAAAAATAAATGAAGATTGCATGTATTTTAGTTTCAAACATTACATGGAAGTTCAGTTTTCATCATATGACAAATGAGCAATTCCAATGTAGAGGATGACCATCCAAACAAGCTTCAGAATTGATGCTCTCATCCAAATTCCAAGTGGCAATTCTGTGCACATCCAAACAACAGAATTCGGGTTCAATGTCAATATCAAAGTCAAGCAGATTTGATATTGGGGCCAATTCAATTCCATGGCCCTCAATATCAACATCCAAACAGAGTGTAACATTGTCCGTCTTGACATTTCAATTCTGTGTTTTTTTCTGTTTCTGCATTTTCAGAATCCTGTGAATGAAGGCCCTAACGTCAATCCATAGAATGTTTAGGTGGCTGCATGCTGTCCAAGTATCTTTAGTTACTCCTTCTCCCTCCCAATGCTTCCTTTGGTTCCGAAAGGGTACACGTACGTACGTTGGCAAGAGGCACTGGTGCCGATCAGCAATGGCGGGGGATCCGGGGACGGCGAGGCATGGGAACCGGGATCGAACCGGCCGGAGGATCGGTGTTCTAGCAGCTGGAGGTATAGCTGAGATGGAAGGCCGAGAGAGCGTGACAGGTGGGGATAACGTGAGAGAAGGAAGGGCCCTCGATCTATCTAGGATCGGGTGCATGCCATGCCATGCATACAATGCATGCATGCATGCACGGCGGATCAGTGTGTAGGTTCAGGGCACAGAGGCTGCATGCCTGCCCGTTGTTTGTTGGTAGTGATCGATGCATGCACCGTACGCTTGCCGAGTCGCTGACACATAATTTCTCAAAATTAAAATTAAAATTGAGAGATGCCGATCCATGCATGATTTGATTAGATCTTACATTAGCTTGATCGAGGTGGCTCGGTAAATGTCATGTCGGGGTGGTAGGTAACTAGCCTCCCCATTTGTGATGCAAATATATATGGTCGATTTTCTAGGCCAAGAGTACTGATCATGATCAGTTTGTACTACTCCATGCACGAACACACATTTCTTAGCTACACACCCAATTCAAGTGATGCACAAGCTAGTGTGAGCATATGATTGAACAAAGGCCCCACCATTGGATTCTGTCAATAATCAAACTCAAGCTGTCAAGCATGGATTAGGACATTGACACATATTAATTTGTATTCGCGTAATTATTATACGACACAAATGATGTAAATGTAACGGGTGATGGATCAATGGATGGCCCATGCATGATGACATAAACATAATTGGGATGGATCTGTAAGCTGTGACACGGCCGGTCCCTTTCTGGCAAACAAAGGAAAGGAAACACCTACGCACAGTACCTGGCTGAACATCCACACATGCACACACATGCATGTACTACTCCTACGCCCGCGCCCACAGGGCCAGAGCCAGAGGAATCAGAATACACAAAGCTTGCTTGTCGCACCAAGGCCAGGTCTTAAAAGTAGACGGAAAAGAGCAAGATATAGTACACATAAGTAATGAGTTTTGATCCTTACAGGAGAGGGAGTAATCATAAATTAATACAGAAAGAGCAGTCAGCATGCAAGGACGGAGCTCGCACTGTTTGTGCCCCTTGTCTTGTCCCGCTTGGCATAGCATGCGATCTGGGCCTACGACTCTGCCATTTTTTTGGGGGGTAGACAAGCATGATCTCATTTTAGAACAAACAGCATAAAATAATGGGGTAACTCAAAACCTACCCCCTGGAAAGCGTGAACTTGCTCCAATAGTCCAACCGCACCGAGTAAAAAACAGAATCCGCATGCAATCACAAAGGCTATAGGCTAGGTAAGTGATACGTATTATTTATTTACACCGATCCTTAACTCATCATCTGGCAGGTCGATTGGTTGGAGCACTAACCCCGTCCTTGGCCACACAGCAACCAAACAACAGAAAACATCAAAGCCACCCCAACCCCTACGCACACGACGGCACACGGCTCCACCGCGCAAAACCCCAAGCCATCTAGCGAGCTAGGGTTTCGTACATTTAACTATGAAATCAAGAACCGCAGTGGGAATAGAATGCGCTGCCATGCATGGATATATACTCCTACTCCTGCATGGATCGATGGGCCAGCTTATCTTAACATAACATAACATAACCTTGGTGATCGATGAGGTGATGAGCAGCTCCTGTCCCAATCGAGCCGAGGGTCGTCCACGTCCATGACATCAAACAAGGCAACGATAAACATTGGGGAACAAGGAGGGCGGGGACAAGGAGGGCTCGCATGCAACCAACCCTTCCGAGTTTAAAAGAAAAAACGAAAAAGAAGAGAGGCGTCAAGGGTTAGAGGACAAAGACCACCACGAAATCCTATACGACCATATTCCTCCCCGCTGTCTCGCGCCAAGCGCTAGCCTCCAGGGCCATTTGTACTACCTCCCCGGCCTCACCCGACTTTAAAAAGTGGCGCCTCACATCCAATCACCAAACCAAACCCAACCGAACCCAACCCCCTACCACTACCACGACCACTACACTAGCGCTAGCTAGCTAGCTGCACGCGCCACACCATCCATGTTCATGTCCATGTCCATGCATACACCCTACCCCGGCCCGGAGGCATTTTCCCGCTTGGACTTTCCACCCCTCGCCCTGATTCCCTTCCCTTTCTTCCTCCTCGAACCGCTTTAGCTTGCCAGCAAAGTGGACGGGCCTTGGATTGGATCCCTTGGATTTGAGCTGGCGCGGAAACACATGCAATCACTATACATACCCAAACGAACGCATCATCATGAGTAGCCGCTAGCCAGTGTGAGAGTATTAGTGCAAGAGGACAGACAATCTATGCTATGCAAACCCCCCATGCCTGATGCCTCCTCCCCTCTCGCATACATATATATACCCCGGCCTGCCCCCTCCAACCTCCCCTCAACCAGTGATCGGCCCATTTGCGGCTTGCTAGCTCCAACCAGACCAAACAGCGCCACCCCTCCCTCTCGCATCGCACACTCGCATACCCACCTAGCTAGCTCGCTCTACCCACTACAAGTGAGCTAAGCCAGTCCTAGCTCTGCAACAAGAAGCACTTGCTGGCCAGCTACTCGTAAGCAAGTCCATCTCTCCGATGAGAAGGCAGGGGCGCAATGAGGCCTCCCCGTCGATCATCCACACGTCCTCCATAGCCCTCCTCCAGGAGCGGTTCAGGAACCTGCAGAGGGTCAAGGAGATGAGGGAGGGAAGGGAGCTGCAGCGGGTGCACCACTCCGCCGACGCCACCGACCGCGCCGGCTCCCCGTTGCCGCCGGCGCCTCTGGACCTTGGCCTGCAGCCGACGGCG